GCGGTAAAATTGTTTCTTTAGGAGGGGTAAAAAAAAAAAAAAAGCATTCCTTTTATGTATAAAGCACAAATAATGCCTATAATACGTAAGCAGGTATACAGTATATCTGTGGTGTTAAGATTTCACAGGAGGGGTTTCACCAGGGGGAGAAAAGCCTAAAAGCTCTGCAGGGGAGTAGATGGCAACAAAGCAAAGTGGAGGGACACTGCTACCTATCTCCTTCCTGGGATTCAGGCTGGTTTCTGTCCTCTCTTCCAAACGGTTTTTATACTGTCTTGAAAATAATGTATCTTACGCTAATTGATAAAAGTATTAAATCTGTAGAAAGAGCTGTTTTCCCAAACACGAATACCCTCTCTTGGGAAGTGCTAAAATCCTTAGGATCTGAATTATTTCTCTTCTTTCGGAATTGGACTCTTCTCCGGACTGAATTCCATTCCTGGAATAGCTGCCGTGTCACGTGAAAGGCGTGATCCAGCAACGGTTCCAAAGAAAGAGCATATAGGCTGGGCGAGCTGGCTCCCCCAGGGGAGGCGGCCGCTCTTCGGATGCTGCCTTCGCCATAGACATGATAAGGGGGACATAAGTTTTACTCTTGTGTCATTCTACTTTCATAATTAAGTCATATACATAGTAGGGGAATGGAGAGATGTTGACACTATTTTGCTCTCAAAACAAAAATAGCTCGCCGACTTTAACATGCAGCAAGAATGGTTGCTTTGAGGTTCCCCGAAAGTTGGTGCAAGTGCTTGGAATGTTGAAAGGAGCCACATGCCACTATTATTATCCCAACCCCTCCTAAGACGGTAGTCTCTGGCAAGGATTAAGACGGAGCATGCATTCCGTCTCCTTTGGCAAGCACCACTCCCTGGTTGGAAATAGAACAGTAAATAGAACAGTAAAATGAATCTGTCTTAATTAAAAGTGATGTTACTACCTGCGTGTCCTCCAGGGCAGGAGCCTGTCTGTGACCTCCCCGTGTCATCATGGACTGGAACACACGCCAGAGTAAGGAAGACGAGATAAGGCACACGCTACCTACAATCCAGATGTCTTTTCTTCTAAGTGCTAAGTCCATTCTCGGGGAGCGGCTATGGAAGTCACTTGGCTTATACGCTCCTTCCCTCCCCTGATCTAGCACAAGCACGTTTCCAAGCACATGCTTGTTACATGCCCACTTCTGAGGGGTAGGCGCTGCCCCATGGCAGAGGGTTCTTGCAGGGTCCTGCAATTTGTGTTTCCAGCTACACGATCCACAGATAATCTGCCTCTTTAAAAGGAAAAATAGGACGGCCTGCGTGACAGATCTGAAACAGGTGTAGGGGCAGAGACAGACCCGCTGGGGACAAATGACACCAACTTGAATGCGCTTGTCCCCAGTTCAAGGACGATTAGCACCACAGAAACTGGCATCTGCCTTGCCGGCTGGGCCACCGCCAGGGAGCTTTCTCCTGCCCTTAGGAGCAAAGGAGCAAAGAGATGGGGGCAGGGAAATGCAACTTTAAAAATTGCAAAGCCTCCACCCTCAGCCATGATATTTTGATATCTAAGTAAGTCACCGTGAGCACCACCGGCAGTGCAATTTCACAGTGGTTAGTCAGGAAATGCCATCTGCGATTAAGCGCACCAACTGCAATCAAAATAGGGAGATCCACGCTTTGCTCCAACCCGCTCTATGCTATTCACATCCTGTCGATAAACATTTTTTGTTTGGTCTTGGAGCATTTGTAGCAGGCACTTAAGCATTCTGCCTCTGTTAGAGCCATCCTTGTTTCTACTCCCACAGCTCTGCCTCACTCCCCTGGTTAGGACCGTGCCTTTCAGATGGAGGACAGGAACCAGGATTCTACGGGAAGGTGGGGGTGGGGGGCAAAGGACAAGGAGGTGAACATAGATAACCTTGGGCATAAAAAGTAGGTATATGTATCATAAGTGGGAGCAGGCAAAGGGAGGCAGACAGAACCAAATGGAAGAGTAAAACTCTGCTTGTCTGGCCCTTTTGTCTTTTATTAAACAAATAAAGTGCGTGTGCATGTGTGTGTGCGTGTGTGTGTGTGTGTGTTAAACAGTAAATTATATCTAAGAGAAGTATAGCAGGGGGCTATTTATATAGGTAACAGAGAACTAACCGAAGAAGAAAACCTGGATTTGATTCTATAAAAATGATACTAATTATAGTTATGAGAGTCATTTACCGCTTATGAGTTAACAGTATATGCACAATCGCTAGTGAGCTCATCCCGCGTATGTAGCAGATTAATTTTTTTGTGTTTTACTTTATTTCAACACCACATTATGTAGGCTTAGACCTGGTTTATTATGGTATATCTGCTAAAAGTTTTTAAAATTCTACATTATTTAGGTGATTTTGAACACCCTCTAGAATATAAGACAATGAGAAAAGTCATTAAAAAAAACAGAATAAACATACGAATAAAAAAAAAACAGAATAAAAATGGAAGTAGAAAAATAAAGTGAACAAACCACAGGAGAAAAGTAGAATATGTGGCATTTAACAAATTCAACAAAAAATAAAGTAGAGGAAAAGAAAGAAGATAGTTAAAATTAATCTAGTGGGGGGAAAATAAGTGAAATTAGAAAACCTGGTTAAGAGCAGGAAAAGGAAAAGAACCTGAGTTTTACCAGCCTGGACTAGGGAGTAAAGACTCTTCTAGAAAGAAATTGCACTTCACGCCTTCCAAACAAAGCTTCCATATCACTAGAGTATCGGAAACTCAGAGTAAATTATTGCCAATGCACCACAGTGACATTTTCTACTGTGATGAGCAATGCTAATCTTCTCAGAAAGAGAAGGACTAAAAAGAAAAAGGAGAATAAGTTTTCTCCACTTACGGCAAATTATGGCAAGCATTTTTTAGACGGTCCCTGGAGAATAACGCCTGATATTGTGAAGATTTACTGTGGCCCCAGCAGAAGATGGAGACATGTCAGTCTAGCTCTGTTTGCATACCTGCTGACATCTGAGCTACTGGAATGCCCTTCTCCACCCACCCGCGGCCAAGGCCCGCTGCCTACCCTGGCACCCACTGACTGGGCCAGCCAGGGCCTCCAGTACTGTGACCTTGGCAGCCACACAAAGAAGAAGAGCTCTGTGTCTCCCCTTCATGTTCCATCCATCCTCCAGAGGGCCAGAGAGAGAGAGACAGGGAAATTTATTGCTGACATCTCTGGGCCCTTCGCCATTTACAAAGAAGAAGCTGAATGGGACATAGGGAGCTACCAGTCACTCCTTTCCATCTTCCGCCCAGCATCGACTGCAGGATCAAGGCCAGAAGGCCCAGGTTACACGCGGGACATCAGACCAAGTGCAAAGGGTGCTCTCTTAGGGTTTCTGAGGAGCAACATTCTCAGTCTTGCCCTCAAAAATATCCAAAAATATTGATTGTCCAAATCATTTGATTTCTGATATTCTGGTGCAGTTTATCATGAAAACAATTCTTCCTAAAAATGTTTCTGTTCCAGCTTAGCACCATCTCCCTCTTCAAAGATAATTCCTACTTCTAAAAATTATATCACAGAACCCGGAGAAAAACAGTCCTGGAAAAATAATCAAATTCATATAACTATTACCAGTAGCTGGTTATTTCAAAGTTATCCAAGAAGACTGTTTTGTCTTCTCTGTCCTAGAGAAGTTAATGAACAGAAAAAGGAATCCTTCTGTTTATTCATTTGCATCCTAATAGCCCTAAGGAGGAAGTCCTTCATATGTGACTTCAATTTCGCCTGTGGAAGTTTCTTTTTGGTGTATACTGAACAAGATATTAACTCATAGGGAAAGTGGAGGTCTCAAGAAACCTAAGTTTCAACACAACTCCTTTCTTTTCTCCAGCACGTTTTATCATTCCATACTCACTGACAGTTACTTAGCAGCCCTGCTTCATTGTCCGGGGCACCGTTAGAAATGCCCTTCCTGTCCGAATAGTGCTCTTCAGAACAGTAGTTGGACAAAGAAGGATATTTCCAATCCTGCCTAGTAAGAATCACCTGCTCTGATCTTTAAAAATACTCATTCCTAGCCTTCAACCAGAATGCAGAATTCACTTCTACAGATCTGTTCATTCCACAGACATTTTGGGGACCTCTTCTGTGCTGGTTACCAGGGGAGTCCAAGTACAAGTCATTCAAGGTCTCGACCTTGAAGAGCACTATCGAGAGAAAGGTGACAGACTTCGAAACAATTGTGTATGCTAGAAGAAAGGCACAAGCAACATGCTGGGAGGCCAACCCTGGGCCAGGAGCTGCACTTCCATGGGTCCGTGAGTGGGACTGACTAAGTCAAGAGAGAAGAGAAGACTGCTGTTGGATGACAGTTTACCATGGTGAACAGATACTGTGCTAAGTGCTTTATACATATTATCACACTTAAATTCCTCAACAGCCATCGTCCCATTATTCTGATGAGGCAGCATCTTGGCTGAGGTTAGGAACTTGCCAAAGATCAAGTAGCCAGAATCAGGCTCAGGGTTTCATTGTGCACAACTGAGGACCCAGGCGTAACCTTCAGGGAAGGCTTGCTGGTCCCCGTCTCTGACAGTCACGGCCAACAGCTTTGTCACCTACACTGTGAGGAACTCAAAGTCTTGAGGAAATTAGAAACTCTTCTGCAGAACGATTGTGCCCTTCATAGTGCTTCTCTGAATTTCACACCCATCCTTGTAAATGCTCAAGAAATGTGTGTTTCCAGAAGTTCCCTCTCATAACGTCTAAGCCACTAACCACAACGAGGAGAAGCCTGCTGGTAGAGATGCACATTCAAAGCCCCTCAATTACTTACCAAACTCGGTTGTATAATCTACAACACGTAATCCTCAGTGAAACACAATGAAAAATGTCTTATCCATAAACATTCCGTAATTCTTCACACAAGCGACAAAAATAGAATTTGACAAGTCTGATAAATGGTTACATTTACTGATTCATGTAAGAACAGATAAAGTAGAACTGATACTTTTTACAAGACTAAATTAGCACATAATTACCTCATTCTTTCCAGATCTTGATTCCTGTTCACTGGAACTTTCTTCCAGAAAACATTTCACTTTCTCAACCTTTTCCATGCACTGGAAGAAGGCCATTTCCTCCCGTTTGTTACTGTTATAACATGTGTTGATTTCTTCCAGCCTCTTCACTTTTAACATCTTGGTGGTGAGTCCGATTAAGTTACTGTCTGGAGTGTGGTTTTCATCTCCCTCTGTCCCTGATTTGTAAATTAAGACGCAATCATGAGCTTTGAGCGTGCCTTCCTCTTGACTGTAAAAAAAAAGGACGGGGGGAACAAAGATCTCATCACTTACTCACATATTTGACTTCTGGAGAAAATGACCAGTGAGAATTTTGAAGTCCCTTCTATTTAAACTGGAAAGAAGACCCAAAACTAGGAAGAGAAATGTTAATATCAAGTTTCAAATGCTGGAACTTTGAAAGAAAAAAAGGATTTTTTCCCCCAACTTGTCCTACAAAAGTGAACAGTAAAAGGCAACCTTCAGTTTCCCTGGGTGACTGTATCTCTCAGTGCATAAAATGAGATGTATATCAAGTGACCAATTTAAATATAGAATATAAAATTTCGTTGGGGTTAATTGGGATTGCAGGTTTTGCTCCTCCCATCCCCAGTAGGAAGGGCTATTTCCTGTGTGAGGGGGTCTCTCATGCTTCCCCCAGGGGAATTTTGTCCCCATATGGGGAGTAATCTCCACCAGATGGCCCATTTCCAGAGCACTTCTCTGCCTACACCAGAAATGTTTGGTGTTTATTCTAAAAAAGAAATTTCCTTACAGCGCTGTCACGCAGATAAAATGCCCAGATAGCTTTCTTCGATTTGTCATTACCTGCTAGGTATCGAGTGCAAATCCTTGTGCTTTCTTTGAAATACTTTTATTCCAAATTAAGTAATACACATAATTCCGCTCTGATACTAGAGATCTACACATAGTTTATGTCCACACGCTTGATGGTATGGGGGCTTGGGGAGAGAGAGATTGATTGGAATTTGCGGCGGGTTCCCACCGCTGACTGCTGAGGCCCCCTGCTGGAGATTTTCTGAAAATTGTTTCCAGTTTTTTTTTTTTTTTTCATTTATTCAAAGTTGTAAGAGTTTGAGAGTAGAAATAAAGCTTACTCTCACACTTACTTTTTTTTTTTTATTTGAGAGAGAGAGAGAGAGCATGAGAGGCAGAAGGGTCAGAGGGAGAATCAGACTTCCCCCTGAGCAGGGAGCCTGATGCAGGACTCGATCATGGGATTCCAGGATCATGACCTGAGCCAAAGGCAGTCGCTTAACCAGCTGAGCCACCCAGGTGCCCCTGCTTCCAGCTTTTTCTCAAATTTAAAATCATCTGCAATTATGTCCACAAAACTTCATTTTTCATTCTCTTAACTCAGATAGTAAAATTCATATAAACCTTAAGTTCCAAATTATTAAAAATCCAATGCTCTGCAAAAGTCTTCTTAGCCACACAAAGACCTTACTTCAAACACACTGAAATGTAATACCAACCAGAGTTCTAGAACTATGATACATTATAGATCAATACTAGCATTCTTTCAAATTGCCCTGAAAAAAAAACATTATTAAAAAAAGGAGGCAGATGCATGGCTATTTCTAAGGCAAACTATGACTTATACACAATATGTAGTTGCAGATGGTACTCACGTTGGATCAGGAAGCCACATAAAAATTAACAAATTAAAAAGAAAACAGGTCCAAGATATAATAATTTTGCAAAGAAATAATAAATGTTAAGCTCTACCTGGAGTTTGGTACAACCTGTTATTTAAGGCAACATAGAAAGAAGAGATGTGAGAGGTTATAACAATTATTTAAAATAGAGTAATTACCATGTATAGGAGGACATCCTAGGGTTCGGACCCCTTCAAGTGCAGAGTATAATATCCAGCAGATAAAAGGAAGTTTTACAGAGTTCAAAATGACTACACAATTCTCTGGTAAAGGTCTTTACTCTCAGTCAGAATAAGTCTTCTGAAAAGACAAGTGTCCACTCTGAAAGGAAGTATCCTCTCTCTCAAATGCCACTTTGAGCCCCTGTTTAAACTAATATGGTCCTTGATCTCATGTTGCTCAGCTGTTGCCTTCTTAGTCAGATGGGGAAGACTATTAATTTTAGACACCAGGCTTTTCAAGGCCAATGGCTCCATTTCAGAGGTCAGGTAAGGAGAGGATGTACTGGGAACAGTGGATGAAATATCACCTTCACCTTTTCTTCTCATCAGTGTGGTAATACTCAGAATTACCAAGCAGCATTTGCCTTTGGCGATCAGATGCCCCTGTTATCCACATAACTATTGAATTTTCTTCCTTTCAAAAACCATCGAGAATGAGCCGTAAAAGCAAAAATTGATAAATTGCACTTCACTGAAATTCAAAATTTGCTCTTCAAAAGACAGCATAAGAAAATGAAAAGACAAACTACAGACCTGGAGAAAATACTATGAAATCACACATCTGATAAAGGATTTGTATACTGAATATACAACCAACTCTTACAAATCACCAATATAATAACAACCTAATTTTTAAAAATGAACAACAGATTTGAAAGACATCTCATCAAAGAATATATATAAATGAGTGGCTACAAAGCACAAGAAAAAATGCTCAAAGTCAGTCATTAGGGAGATGCAAATTAAAATCACAATGAAATAACATTTTATACCCACTAGAAGAGCTATGATTAAAAGAACAGACAAGGGCGCCTGGGTGGCTCAGATGGTTAAGCTTCTGCCTTCGGCTCAGGTCATGATCTCAGGGTCCTGGGATCGAGTCCCGCATCGGGCTCCCTG